ATCTCTAAATAAGCTGTGAAAAAGGTTGATCTCTATACATGCTAGCAACTATACAATAAAAACAATTAATTTCTTAATTCATATTAATATCCAGATATTATTTTTATTTTTTTTTATACGACAGTCACAAGTTAATTCCGATTTCTCTTCCCCCCCTCATTTAATCCGGAAAATTATGGCTTACAATCCTGATTTCGTTTATAAATGAAATAAGAATCAATATAAACCTTCAAGATACTGCAGGTTTAGGTTAAAAAAGAAAAAAAAAAACCTTGTATCTGGTGTTTCATTTTTCCTGTTTTATTTTATTTTTTAATTCCTAATTCTGATTATGTTCGAATATTTTGTGTTGCTTTAGTACTGAAATAAATGCTGGACATACATAGGTTGGGTAATATATTAAGGAGAATGCGACTTCATGAACGGATTTGTTTACATTCGTTCGTATTTTGATCACGGTTTTACGCTTCTCGATTGCCAGTGATGTTTCTCGTATCTTAAACCCAAGAGAATTTGCTAGCTGGTGTATCTGTAACGATTATTCTGTCATTATTATTATTGTTATTATGTTTGATATTTAGTGTAATTAACAGATAAATATTACATCTGATGACTTGGACGATGAGAGACACTACAACAGTTGGTCTAGAGGATGAGACACTACATCAACTGTCTTGGACCATGAGAGACACTCCAGTGCTACACCAACAGTAGCGGTGGTGCTGGCGTTAGGTGGTGTGTAGTGAGGTGGACCTGAGCGACGGCTCGGGCGTTGTTGAGGCACTAAAGAGGGATGTTGGGTTACTGGTGTCCTCTCTCTCTCACTCTGATGTTCTGTCCTCTTTCTGTCAGTATGTACATGTATGTCTGTTTCTCTGTCTCACTCACTCACTTTTTTCTCTCATTCTTATGTTTTACAGTCTTTTGTGTGTCTCTCTTTCTCCCCTTCATGTTATTCTTTCCTCATTCTGTCTATCTGTCTGTCTGTCTGTCTGTCTGTCTGTCTATCAAGTTAGCCACAATTTTAGTCGATCTTAGTTCTAATGCACACTAGTCCTAATAGACCCCAGTTCTAATAGTCACCACTAGTTTCTTCCTTCTCTCTTTCTCTTTATTCCATTTCCCTCCTTCCCCTCTTCCTTCCCTCCATACTTCCTTCATTCCTAACCATTCCCTCTCCATCCCTCCTTCTTTTACCCCTCTCCTTCCATCTCTATATACCTCCGTTTTTCTTTCACCCCTAACCCCTCTTTCCTTCCTTCACCCTTCTTTCCCTCTCATCGCCTTACTTGAAGAAAGAGAGAGAGAGAAAGAGAGAGAGAGAGAGAGAGAGGGAGGCAGAAGCTCAACCTCCACTGATCATGTTTCCAGTCTTCATATTATCAAAAATTGGACTAAAGGTTGAGACTTTGTCCTTTTTAACGCTTAATTACCCTCAGATAATTGTGTTAGCGGGTATTCCCAATCTACTCCCCCTCCCCTCCATTCCTCCCTCCCCCTCTTTTTCATCTTTCCCCCTCTCCTCCATCCCCCTGACTCGCCTACACCCCCCCTCTTATCTTTCTCTCCCTCCTCCCCTCTCTTACATCCCTCACCTCACCCTGTCCTCACTCCTCTTCTTCATCCCCCCCTCTCATCCACCCCCCTGCCTCCATCCTTCCCCCTCCTCACCCCCACCATCATACAGGCTTTGTAATAGGGTCGCCTCAGCTACTTACGGTGTAATAGGGACAGCTCAGCGGAATAGGGAGACTCCGGCTACCTACAGAGTTAATAGGGCCAATTAAGGTACCTTTCAGTGTATGAATATATGGTATGTGTGTGTGTGTGTGTGTGTGTGTGTGTGTGTGAGTGTGTGTGTATGTTTGTGTGATGTATGAAGTTGTGAACGTATTTCTCTTAACAAGTTTAGTATTAAATCCCACTTGTATACACTATGAATATCTACTAGGACATGTTTCACGCTAATACAAAATAATTAAAAACAAGTATTTACATATTTACTTCGACACCATGAGTACGATGGATTAACCCTGAGTACGATAAATAAGCCCTGGAGTACGATGAATTAGCAATATGAGTACGATGAATTAGCCCTGGTACGATGAATTAGCCCTGAGTACGATGAATAAGCCCCTGGAGTACGATGAATTAGCCCATGGAGTACGATGAATTAGCCCCATGGAGTACGATGAATTAGCCCTGGATGAATAAGCCCCTGGAGTACGATGAATTAGCCTACCCTGACGATGAATTAGCCCTGGAGTACGATGAATTAGCCCTGGAGTACGATGAATTAGCCCTGAGTACGATGAAGCCGCCCTGGAGTACGATGAATAAGCCCTCGAGCCCCTGGAGTACGATGAATAAGCCCCTTAGATGAATTAGCCCTCGATGGAAGTGATGAATAAGCCCCTGGGTACGATGAATTAGCCCGGAGTACGATGAATTGAGCGATGAATTAGCCCTACGATGAATTAGCCGGATAAGCCCTGGACGATGAATGAGCCTGATGAATAAGCCCCTGAGTAGCCCTGGGTACGATGAATAGCCCTGGGTACGATGAATAAGCCCCTGGAGTACGATGAATTAGCCCCTGGAGTACGATGAATTAGCCCTGGAGTACGATGACTGGAGTACGATGAATTAGCCCCTGGAGTACGATGAATGCCCTGGTACGATGAGCCCTGAGTACGATGAATTAGCCCTGGAGTACGATGAATTAGCCCCTGGAGATATGAATTAGCCCCTGAGTACGATGAATTAGCCGCTGAGCAATTACGATGGAGTACGATGAATTAGCCCTACGATAAAGCCCATGACGATGAATTAGCCCATGATGATGAATTAGCCCTGAGTACGATGATTAGCCCCTGGAGTACGATGAATTAGCCCTGGAGTACGATAAATAAGCCCCTGGGTACAATGAATTAGCCCATGAGTACGATGAATTAGCCCCTGGTACGATGAATTAGCCCTGGGTACGATGAATTAGCCCTGGAATACGATGAATTAGCCTCTGAGTACGAAGTTAGCCCTTACGATGAATTAGCCCTGGAGTACGATGATTAGCCCTGAAATAAGCCCATGGAGTACGATGAATTAGCCCCTGGAGTACGATGAATTAGCGGAATGATGAATTAGCCCCTGGAGTACGATGAATAGCCCTAAATAAGCCCATAGGTACGATGAATTAGCCCATGGAGTACGATGAATTAGCCCCGATGCTCCCCCTGTACGATGAATATGAATTAGCCCTGATGAATAATAATGAATAAGCCCATGGGTACGATCCTGGAGTATGATTAGCCCCTGAGTACGATGAATTAGCCCTGGAGTACGATGAATTAGCCCATGGAGTACGATAGATTAGCCCTGGAATACGATGAATTAGCCCTGGACGATAAATTAGCCCCTAGATGAATTAGCCCTGGTACGATGAATTAGCCCCTCGAGTACGATGAATTAGCCCTGGAGTACGATGAATTAGCCCCTGGAGTACGATGAATTAGCCCATGGTACGATAAATGCCCTGGAGTACGATGAATTAGCCCCTGGAGTACGATGAATTAGCCCCTGGATTACGATGAATTAGCCCCTGGAGTACGATGAATAAGCCCCTGGAGTACGATGAATTAGCCCCTGGAGTACGATGAATTAGCCCCTAGAGTACGATGAATGAGCCCCTGGAGTACAATATGTTAACTCATTGCGTAAGATGAATAACCAACTTAATGTGAATACGGTTACATAAGAACCCAGGAATTTATACCGTGGTTAATGATTCATCTTCAATACCATCTTCTCGTAAATATAAACTTAACTAATATAATATGAACCAATACGTTAACATGTAGGGGTATTTATTATTAAAGTTTTTTAATCATTTTCTTTTGGGATTAATACAAAGGTTCATTTTATCTTTTATTCATTATTTTACTTTTTTTTTTACATATTAAAATCTTCTAAACGATATTATGAACCACACTTTGCAATTTCCTTCCGTGCAGCTGGTCACTTTGCTTCCCTGCAACTCAGGTAACACGGAGTATATCTTACCTGATTGAGTTTTCTCTCTAGTCAAAATTCATATTATCCAAAAAAAGGTAATAAAATAATACCACCAAAAGGCAAATTGACATTTTTATTATGAACAACACTAGAATCAATACATCTTATTTAACCTGCTCTATAAAGGTCTATTTATCAGGAAGGGAAGAGGAAGGAGGGGGATGGAGGGAGGGAGGGGGGGGGTACACCAACTTTGGCTCACATGGGGATAGGGGATAGGTCACCCCTTTGTGAGGGGAGAAGTCACCTTGAGGGGGAGGGGAGTCACTCGGGAGAAAGGTTTACATCAACATGAAAATGGTCCTGATTACAACAGGGGTATGAAAAATTTTTATGTAAGTTTATTTACATTGTGAGAGTTTATTACACTTTTTAGAAGTTGAGGTGAGAGAGAGAGAGAGAGAGAGAGAGAGAGAGAGAGAGAGAGAGAGAGAGAGAGAGAGAGAGAAGAATGAGAGACTGAAGGATGAGAGAGAGAGAGAGACTGAAGAATGAGAGAGAGAGAGAAAGAGAGAGAGACTGAAGAATGAAAGAGAGACTGAAGAATGAGAGAGAGAGAGAAAGAGAGAGACTGAAGAATGAGAGAGAGAGAGAGAGAGATACGCACACGCACACACACACACTATCTCCCCACTCAAGTCTTTAGTACACTTCACGGGGTTGTCACTAAACATTAAACGTACAAAAAAATTGGATATTTACAAAATTTAAAACGTGTGACTCATTTATCATTATTACACTCTCAACAATAATAATAATAATAATGAAAAAAATTCTCTCTCTCGTTACAAGTCCAAGATTAAAACCAAAATTACATAAAACTGCCTCACTATTGTCACTAATCTGAAATTTATCTTAAAAAAAAACAGTGACTTCTATAGACTCCTCCATCACGAGATAACAAATGCAAAAATGGCTTCTTTTTTTTCTTGACTAAATTTTGTTATTTTTTTTTTAGTTGTTTACAATCGGTATAACACGTTGGTCTATTAAAATGACAAGACTGGAAGTACAATGTTGTGGATTAACCTTTGTGTAGGTCGTCTCCTGTTGAAATATTACCACGTACAGCCACACGGACCGTACATACCCAAACATACATTCAGACATACATTATACATTACAGGTATACTCTCACATATACATATTCGAATTACATACACACACGGATGAAATAAAAAGTGACGCATTTACATCCTCCATGGAATTTCAATATATATAACAATCTTATGTACAAGTTACAGATAATATATAGTAAAAATATCACAAGGAACCAGATTCATGCGGTTCGTCTCTCCAAGATCTTGTTCCAGGCCAAATGGTTCAGCGAACCACCGTGAAACAATGAAGCAATGATACACTACCACTATGAAGGGAGACTTGAAAAAAACCTCTGTAGAGTCATGTGTGTGCCAATGGAAACGGAAATTGATATGAAGAAAAAAAATAAAAAAATTGTACAGTTCTACATTCACGTGTTAAACAGAAGGTGAGTGTAGTCATCGGTACATGATAGTTAATAATAATAATAATAATTATAATCGTACAGTTTTGTAAATGTGTACGAAAAAATAATGACTGAACAATTCAACTGAAACAAATTGGTAATCTTAAATATATAGTGAAAAAATATCGTATAATATTTGTCTATATATATATTTATATTTTTATGTTCATATGTATGTTTGAATATATATTTGTATATGTGTGTGTGTGTAAAAGTGTGTGTGTGTGTATAAGTGTGATTGTGTAAGTATGAGTATGTCTTTGTATCTTTGTGTACGAGTATAATGAAACCGAGTCTTCCTTCTACTTAAAATCTAAATAAATAAAACAAAAAATCTCCATTAAATTCTCGTACAAGAGAACGAGGCAGATTAGTCCCTCAATGGAACAATATCGCACCATTCCAATGCACCTGTTACATTGCACCTAATACACGATAGACCGTTAACTGGGAGACTGACTGGCAGGGAAAGTGAGGGGTTGCGTATCAGTTCGAGACCGTAGACCTAAGTTTACCAGGTCCCAGTATTTTGCCACATCCCAAGGTCCCAGTTTCTCTCTTAGGTCCCAGTTTTCTCACATCTCAAAGTTCCAATTTCTCTTTAGGATACAGATTCAAATGTTTCTTAATCTCAGGGTCTCCGTTTTCTCTGGATTCCAAGGTTCCAGGGTTAAGGTACTGTACATCCATCAAAATGACTAGACGTGATTAATATTAAGTCTTTACACACTGAAGAACAATACTAAATAAAAATAATAATAATGATAATAGTAATAATAACAATAATAATAATAATAATGATGACACTGGTTGTAGGTTAACATATACGATAATCCTAGTAGGGTGTAATAATATCATCGGTCAATAATTTACAGGAATGAATAAATAACTTGACTGAATGACTGACTGACAGACTGAATTTACGAGTATAAGCGTTGGTGAATATACTGTGTTATTCTTTCTCTCTCACTCTGGTCCGTTTGAATGATTGGTGTCGAGTACATACGGGTTTATATACAGCACAACAAAGGTCGCTCGCTTACTCTCCATCGGTCAGTTTGTTTACATTGCCGCAGTCATCCTCTTGAGCGCTGTATGTCGTGTCAGTTATGGTGAATGAACTACCGTGTAAGTCTTGTTTGATGTAACATCGAGTACTTGTTTTTTATTTACCTGTTATAAAGGCGAGGAGGTTGGTAAGCTTAATCGTGTATCCCGTGCCGCTGTGTTTATTCGTTTTTCTTCAATTTATTTTTTGCTTTTATTGTTGATATTTGTAAGAAGTGAGAACCACTTTAGTTGAAAAAAAAATAAAAAAATAAATAAAATAAAATAAAAATATAAAATAAAATGTAAGCGCGTTAACTTTACATCAGTTTCATGTTTCAAGAAAACTCATAGGCACGGTATACAATAGTCATCAATATAAAATAAGTGGCTTTGTAATTTAGATTTCAAGCATGTTAATTAAAACACGGATAGATTAGCATTATTAACTGTTCATCTGTATGTCTGGCTGGCAGGTCTGTGTTTGCGGGTGCAAGTGATAGACACATTTGATTCCCTAGAAATACTACTAGTCCTGTTCATGGGTCACTGTCATATTGTCAAAGGAACGTGGGATAGTTTTTTGAGTTTGGCAATTTTTAACAGAATTACTTAGTGTATATCTTCTATATAATATATATATATACATACTCGGATAATCCCCCTAGGGAAAAAAACTTTTTTTCCTAATTCACCCAGGTAGAATGATGCATTAAGTGTACTTAAAAAATTGGGCATTAATTTCAAATGAAAGTGTTTTAACTTAAAAAAAACTCCTGTAAATATTCATTCTTGTAATTCCTTCTCATCTCGTTTATAAAAAAGTGTCAGTCACAAACACCGTAAAAATTAACGATGTAATTGTACGGGCATATAATTGCTTTTCTGTTACTTATTTCTCTAATCTCCCCCGAAGCGCCGGTGTCGTTACCTATTTTGATGTCAGCTATTGTGACGTAACGTGTTTGGCTGTCAGTCATTTTACCAGTCGAGGTTTTTGGGATTCACGGGTCGTGGTAAACACTCAAATGGCAACTCTGGTTATTAAGCCACGGCAAAGCATTATTAAATAAAGGGCAAACATATGCCAGTAGGAATATAAATATTACTTATCCACACCCGGGGGATCTTTGCGGCAGTGCTCTTAACGTTGCGTCCTCACTCACTATCTTTCCACATTCGCTGCGTGTTGTTTCATTGTTATCCGTCCATGGCTACGAGTTGTATGAATTTCCCGTCTTGGTTACCATTTAATAGCACCTACGAATGCATAAAAATTTGTATAGTCACTGTGGTCTTCCTTCAGGCACGAGCAAACGAGACTAGCATGGTGTCATCGTTCACTACGAGCAGACCGCAGCACCCACGAGAGAACGAAAATCACAGACATCTGAGATGTTTATGCTTATGTATATGTATTTTTTATTCAAGTATACAGTTCATGTATCCTGGATTATTATTGTTGTTGTACCTGAATTCATCATAGGAGAAGCAAAATGTCTCACACAACACACCGGTTTTGTTATTGCTACACTTTTCAAAATGCGAAAAAAAAGACTAAATTTCTAGGTTCACCGGAGCTGAGTTTGGCTTAGTACTCGTGCTACATCGTAAATCCTGGACGATACCCGAACAAAACACGTTTTGTTATTGTCCTTAGCAAGGGGTTATATGATTCAGTCGATAACGCCTCACTGAACATCTTTTTCCCCAGAGCTTTCGGATTTTGACTTTCTTTAGCGGACATTGAATGTGTGTATTTACTGATCCACAAGGTCAACACAGCATTTACCACCTTCACTCCACTGTTTCAAAGACTATTTTTGAAGGCTATCCAGTGTGATTTATATTAAACTTTCAACACCACGGATACACTCTTTAAATATTTAGTATATATAAGATATCGATCACTTCGAGAACATGTAATAAATTTTACTATTGTAAATTTACCATGTTATGGCCACCCAAAACAATAAAATAATAATATTGCTCCCGAAGGATTGTAAACAAACGCGTTTTTCAAGACAATTTGATTGTACTTTGACAATAATTTCCAAAAGGTCGCAAGATAACCTCACGTGGGAGTTCCAGGATACAGCTGGAGAACTCACGTGTTGTCGAGGAACTTCGGACCACCTCATCATGTCTCAGGAGAGTAACACAAGACATCGACACATTGCACCGGATCAAAGCGTACCACTCCGATTCTGTTTGTGGACGACGCGAGGTCTGTCCCGCTACTCTGTAGTTTTCATGAACAGAAGATAAGACCAGATCTCCTCACAAGCCTTAGAAGTTCAGGTTAAACTCGAAGCAGAAACGTTAATTTTGGTTCACATACGCCATGTTTACTGAACTTCTGTTTAAGTTTTATTTCTGCGTTCATACTGTCAGCGCTCTTTCAGGCAAGTCCGTAGCGGTGGCTCTTGAAGGCTAATCCTCCAAGGAACCTTTGAAGAAACGTGTCAACAGAGGTGCTTCACCTTGGGTAATAAGACTTAAGACTATAGGTGAAGTCCTCAACCACCGAACAACCCATCGTGATGGCCCGCAGACGCTTGTACTTGATTCGGCGATTTTTGAATCAGTACTAGATATTGTTGGGCTGGAGTACAGGAAACTTTGGTAGTAAGACATGCGGCTGAGCTCCTGTAGAGATGGTCCTTAAAGGCAAAACATCCTACGTTGACTCCCAAGGCCTACATGGACTCCCGTATCCTCTTGGATTTAGCGCGTCTATTCTTGAGCCAGAACTGGACATTCGTGGATTCCAGTTCTGGACAGCACTCGTAGTGGGGTAAAAAGAGTTGTGGGAAGTCCTCGATGACACACCAGTCTATATGGACACCCGCAGCCTCTTACATTTGGCGCGACGATTTTTGAACCAGAACTGGACATTCTTAGGCTCGAGTTTAGGGAATTTCTGGCGATAGGGCATACGGTTGAGCTCCTCCGTGTACTTGAGGATGAGGTTGTGACTGGGGTGAGTGTTGATGGCGAACCACTGCTCCAGCCGCGGCACCTCCGTCACCGGGTCGATGAAGGTGCGGTTCCTCTTGCGGCGTTCCTCAGGGGGTCCGCTGCTCCCCAGACCGCTGGAGAACGGTGACACCTGTAAGAAGGAGACACGCTATGCTATTATGTCGACAATCTGCATTATGCTATAGTTTTAGAATCCCTAGGATAAAACTTTGCTTGCATTATATTAATAATATACAGCATAATTACGAAGAGATGCGAGAAAATTTATAAAAAAAACATGAGAATAAATAAATAAAATACATTAACTATCGCACGTAATAAATAATACTATCGAAATGTTTCATCATCTCTGTTGTTTTATAAATTAAGAGGTTGATGTTTTTAGTAGTTTTCACTAAGTTTCATTTTCTACACTCAACTTAAAAAAAAATGTTCAGGTTATATAATGTATTACTATACTTCACCAACTAAGGTCTTTTTTAAGCACGCATTCTACCTATTACTGTGAATTATGAGATATATGTTTATTGTATGTTGATGTTATAAAAATATATTACTGTACGACGATCAGTGTTACGTGGATTTACCGAATGTGGGCTTGAGGTTACTCGCTTCTATACCGTCCAGTGATGAATCTAAAGTATCCTAACCTAACTTTATCTCCAAACAGCGTTAGGGCGGTTAATCTTTTAATTAAAATAAGCTGGGGTGGAGATTCTTGAGGTGACCAGATAAGTCAGATATTTAGATTCATCACTGGACGGTATAGAAGCGAGTAACCTCAAGCCCACATTCGGTAAATCAACGTAACACTGAGAGTCGTACAATAAAAATATTAAGTGTTGACGACTAACACATGTTCTGATCTAGTCTATGCGCTTATGAACTTTTGTTGGTAAAGCACAGTAATATATTTCTATAACATCAACATACAATAAACATATATGTATAATTCATAATAATAGTCGTTTGTGTTAAGAATACTTAGTTTACGCACATAAAGACCTCTTTGTCTTAACGTACATGAATATTAAAAACACACACACAGTAATAATAACACTATTTTAATCTAAATATCTAAAAAAAAAACAAGAAGTTATCTGTTTGGAAGATTATGACCAAGTGAATGAAATTTACTTACTGGCAACTAAAGCACCAACAACAAATATCAAAATTAAGTTACGACAAACATCAATTTAAACCAACATCATCAAATCACGACAAGAACATTGATGTGACTACGAGCCTAAATTAAAATAAGGCGAAAAATACCACAAATAAGCAAAAAAAATACAATTCAATCACGGAAAAACGAAAAAAAAAATACTAACAAAGGCGAAAATATGAATAAACCAATAATGAATAACGGATAAATAACAACGCGATAAATTAAGAAAAAACAACACACAAAAGTAAAAATGTACAGAAAAGGACAAAATAGACAAAAAAAAGTAATAAGAAAAACGAAAAAAAAACGGAGGATTAATTCTGAACCACTGGCCAGGAATAGAGAGCAAAGAAGAAAGGTGATAAATTGGGACATAGGAAACAGAGAGAAAAAGAAGAAATTGTAAACAAGAATAAAAATAAAACATAACGAAACAATAATAATATAAAGGACGACAAAATAATATAACTCATAATAAGTGAAATAACAACAGTGATAAATCATAAAGAAACAACAATAATAATAAAGATATCGATAATAAACACAAAAATAAAGACACGATAAAAAATATGAAAAAAATATGAACAGTAAATGGCAATCAAATGACAAACTAAATAAAGTAAAAAGATAAATAACTGATAATAAAGGGAACATAAAAATAATAAAAAAGTTACTATATATATACAAACCGATTGATACAAGAGTGATACAATATAAAACAATAAACCAAGATAACAGTGACAGTACAATGATGCGAGGAATAACAAAGAGTGGTGTAGACGTGATCTTTGGCTAAGCTAAGTCGTCTTCAAGGAAAAACAAAAATAAGGCACGAAAAAAACAAAAGCAAAAAAGGATAAAACAAAGCAAAAAAAAAAAAGGATAAAACAAAGCAAAAAAAAGGATAAAACAAAGCAAAAAAAAAAAGGATAAAACAAAACAAAAAAGGATAAAACAAAGCAAAAAAAGGATAAAACAAAGCAGAAAGGATAAAACAAAGCAAAAAAAGGATAAAACAAAACAAAGGATAAAACAAAACAAAAATGGATAAAACAAAACAAAAATGGATAAAACAAAACCAAAATAGGATAAAACAAAACAAAAAAGGATAAAACAAAACAAAAAAGGATAAAACAAAACAAAAAAGGATAAAACAAAAGCAAAAAAGGATAAAACAAAACAAAAAAGGATAAAACAAAACAAAAAAGGATAAAACAAAAGCAAAAAGGATGAAACAAAAAAATCAGTCGGCAAAAACGTAAATTGCAGTCGGAAATTAAAACAACGATGAGCCACTAAATTATAGAGACGACCACAATAATAGAGACGAAAACAATAAATTATAGACGAAATAAATAAATTAGAGACGAACATATTAATAAAGGCGAATACAATAAATTTGACGAAATAAATAAATTATACAGACGAATGTAATAAATTATAGAGACGAATACAATAAATTATAGAGACGAATGTAATACACTTTAAAAACGAATACAATAGATCATAGAGGAATACAATAAATTAATTATACATTAAATTATACACGAATGCAATAAATTATAGAGGAATCTATTAAATTATAAGAGATGAATACGAAGTTAAATACCGTAATGAAACTTAAATCATGTGTACCCCCCCCCCCATGAGCACTATACACATGGGGTGGAAATGTACGTTACTGAGTGACTAAAATTAATGGAAATATAGAAACGCTTTAAGGTAACTTAACCAAAGAAAATTAAACTGTATGAGAATGATAACTAAAGCGGTTAATTAAAGTATAAATATATTAATCAAATATAAGTGAAAATCAAGAGATAATGAAGAAAAGATGAAAATATAAACAAAACTACAAAGAAAATAGTACAAAGAAAATAAATATCAGAAGATTACAATGAAAAACATTATAAAAGAATCAGAAAATGTTAAAGAAATTAACTTATTTTGGAATAAAAAAAAATTAAGTAAAATTACAAAATACAATATAAACAAACTATTACAATCATGTTACAAAGAAAATGAAGAAAATATTAAATATTACACACACATTACAAAAAAAAAGAAAACGAGAAATATTTCTAACGCAATTAAGAGAATAGTGAAACTATTACAATAAAACCTTACGAAATTAAAAAAAAATATTGCAAAGAAAATCATCAGAAAATTACAAAATTAGTACAAGGAAATATTGAAAAAATATGTAATTGTAATATTACAAAAAAAATAACTATCAAAAATTAATAAATTTGAAAAAGAAGTGATGAAATTATAACATTTTCAAAATATATATACCCGGTATAGTTGAAGGTTAAAATGACACAGTAAAAGCAGGTTTTATATAAAAGTTACAAACTATAAGAAAAACAATTAAAAAACAAAGAAAATATATACAAACTAATAAATAATACATACACAATAAAAAAAAACATATCACCTGAAAAATTAACTTATAACTATACAATAATAAAAGAAACACACTAAAGGAATAAAAAAAACATGAAAACAATTATTAAATCAAAATCAAACCTGAGATCTAAAAAAAAAACCAACACTCACAAATAAAATAATTCAGCTTCAATAATATGGCCCCTCTTCACCACGAAGGAACACACACACACTACAGGAAACACAAACAAAACACACACTAAAAAAGACATTAAAGTAAAAATAAAAACAAACATACAATGAATACCGGTCATCAGCAATTGGTCACTGATAACGCTTGGCCGTACTTGGAAAAATAAACAAATTATCTAAGAACAAATCGGGTCTTAGACTAACTAAACAAAACCAAAACCATGAAATAAAACATACAAACACCGAGACATCTAGAACGACACACTCCACGCTCCCGGTCACCGAAAAATATACAATAACTACAGTATGTAATTACTTAGCCTAGCAACGCACCCATCATTCTCTACCATGAAGTTGTCACATAAAACATTTTCACACTAAAATTGACCAATCACTTTATTCCATTGAAAGTTTATCAAGCGGAGACTAATTCCAACACAAGCGATCGGACGCACGGATTTACAGCTATCACTTCTATATAGTCCGTATTTTCAGTCTAGGAGATAACAAGGAGGAAAAAAGGACGTTATTATATTGCAACAAAGAACCGTCACCTAACTACACAATATTATTAAAAAATAAAAAAAAATTAAAAAAAATTATTAAACAATTTCAGCGAAGATAACGGCCATTCAACTCCGCATATTATAGTACAGTATCAATAATAAGCAACAGTACTGTATACGTATAGTAACCCCGTCAACAACACTACGGGAACAATCTGTTCCTTCCGACGGACAAAGCTTATTCCCGGCCCTGAATTTTTTATAAAGAAAATCCTGGCAGATTTGCTTAAGGTAAACTATATAAAATATTAAGTCTGGTTTAGTTTAGTTATAGTTGCTGAGTTAGGTTCCGTTGATTAGCGAGTCACCAAGAATAAGAAGTACAGGTATATGTTTGATGAACGTGGCAGAGACGGGACTGACTCGCCGACCGCCTGATCTTTGGGAGTGGCTACAGAAGGACGAAGTGACACCAAGAAACAACAACATGTAGCGGCTTACCTGGGGCATGTAGTGAGCCATGTACATCATAGAGTGCTGGAGGAGGGAGCCCGGCACTACGGGGTACGGCAGGCGGTCCATCCCCGGCTGTAGTCCCGGGAGGGGAGGGTACGGCGGCAGTGACAGTGCTCCTGGGGACACGACCGGCGGCGGCGAACACTGGGTGCGGACAATAATAATACTTGTAATAAATGCTACTACTATTACTGTTTATACTACTACTACTACTATTACTGTTTATACTACTACTACTACTGTTACTGTTTATACTACTACTACTACAATTACTGTTTATACTACTACTACTACTACTACTGTTTATACTACTACTACTACTATTACTGTTTATACTACTACTACTACTACTATTAATGTTTATACTACTACTACTACTATTACTGTTTATACTACTACTACTACTACTACTACTATTAATAATAATAATAATAATAATAATAATAATAGTACTAATGATAATAAATTTACAGTTGTCAATAATAATACTGTAGGTTTAATAAAAATTAATACTCCTATTCTTACTACTACTACTCCGTACTCTTAATGGAAAGTTATTGTAAAAAGTTCATATTTGTAGACATAATTCTAGGGGTCATCACCACCACATTTAACTTATTCTTCCATCCTCTGCCGACTGTCTTATCACTGACCTTTACTAGGGAGGTCACATGAATATATTTGAGCTCTACATATTGATCAAATGAAAATTATATTAATATTTGGTCTTGTGATATATAATTATTTTGGAGAAATTTGAAATAAGTTGGTAGGGAGTGAAGCAGTCGCAGCAACAGCAATAATAATTATAATAATAATATTAAGTGCGTATAATCACTAACATCTTACAGAGTTTAACGAAAAATCACACAAAATTAAGGTACAGTTATAATATATCGATGTACTTCGCTAATTACTACAATAATTATCATATTACTCATCAACAAATATAAAATTATAAAAGTTCCTGAATCTTTTATATACAAGTCTTTACATTAATTTAGTCACACAATTGGTGTCCAGTGAACATAATTAAACGTGAGACCCAACGTTACTTTTATATGACTTTTAGAAATACATTTTTTATTTCACTTCTTAATTAACCTTTAGTTAGAGTAACATTTAGTTGCGTCTTATCCCATCAACCTTTTGAATTGCCTCCCTGAATTCTTGAATTACATTTAACGGTTAACAAATTTATTGACAAAGCTTGAGTACAGTTTGCGTATTGTGAGTAATTAAGTCAGGTCTTGACACTGAGGGTGGTATCACTTCTCACTGCCACGCAGGACAGAGGTTCATACACAAAAAAATAGATCATATTCATTAACAGGACAATGGTTCATATACAGTAGAAGTCATATTCTATTTGACGACTAATCAGTGGGGGCTAGCAAATTTTGGATAAGCAGCAAGAATGTCCACAAGCACTCCTGATTCAATGTAATAGTTACAGTGCCCAAGGGGTTAAGTCATCGCACTCAAGGGGTTAAGTTAATCACACTCAAGGGGTTAAGTGATCACGCTCAAGGGGTCAAGTCATCGCCCTCAAGGGGTTAAGACAAGAGGAGCCTGAACCTACCTTGCCCTCAATGGTGGCGCTCACGCTATCCCTTGACCGCACGTCGTCTTCATCCTCGCTCATGTCCACATCACTCTCAGGGGGGCAGCGCTCACCCGTAGTGTTGAGCGCCCCGGAGCTGCCCCCCGCCCCCTGGCTCCTACCCTGCACCCCCTCGCATGGCTCTGACCCCGGCGGACCTGGTTCCTCATCCTCCTGCTGTTGCTGTGTTAATGAAAGACAGGACTTATGAGTTATATGGTCAACACTGTAAGGATACAATAATAGAGAGAGAATAACATTAACACAACGCGGCATTAACCTGACTTAAGGGGTTAATGACTTAGACTGCGGTGGTTCCCAAACTTTTTCACATGACGCCTCGCTTTAATCAATTTTACACCTTGTACTCGTATTTTTGTCACTTTCAAGATCAACTAACTCGACATTAGTTTATCCATGTATCTCGAGCATGTGGAGAAGATTGAAATATACCAAGAAAAAAATAAGGTTACACAATTTATTGGAAATTTCCTGATAAAGAAAAAAGTCTCGCATATTATTATTATTATCTTTTTACATGGCCTCGATCCCCTAGAGGATAACAACACTATCGTAGATTAGATTAACCTAAACTTGAACCAACAAGAAAAAAACAACTCCCGATATCACAATCATAATATACGTGAATAAATAAACAATAAATCAGATAACATTTATAACTGAATAACTAGATATAACCTTAATTAATGTAATGAGTAAATGTAATTAAAATATATAGCTGTTTTTCATAACTGCAACAATGACAAATTATATGAACATTAACACAATTTAGAAAGAACACGCTTATTATTAATTAAGGAATCAAATCTGAAATACAACATAACCTTCTTGACATACGATGCTTCGAGTAAGAGAATGAATTATATTACAAGTTTAGAGACACAAACTAAGAAAACACCAGAATTGAATGTCTCATAATTTCTAATAGTTAATGACTTGTGTTAGTACACCTATAACATAAGCGCTTCAAGACCTTAACTTAACGCAGTAATACAACATCAAAGAAAGGAGGATAAATGCTTAGTAGTTTCTTTACCTACTTGGACTATACGAGCTTGAAGATTTTAGTAATTGAAGCATAGAAATACATACATAATCAATAATCAACAACGAAAGAAGATGCAGTACTTTGTTTATTTTAATTAATTGTGATGAAGAATTAACTGAATTAACGGAGGTGGAGGAAGAGAAGGGGGAGAAGGAGCAAAAAGAAGAGAAGGGGAAGGAGCAGAAAGAAGAAGAGGAGGAGGAGGAAGAGGAGACGAGACTGGCTGTAACCTCCAGAACATTAACATCCTTGAGATAGACGGAATCAAGAGTTGGAATGTTCAGGCTGGTAGACAGTACAGGTTAAGGCTGGTAGACAGTACAGGTTAAGGCTGGTAGACAGTACAGGTTAAGGCTGGTAGACAGTACAGGTTAAGGCTGGTAGACAGTACAGGTTAAGGCTGGTAGACAGTACAGGTTAAGGCTGGTAGACAGTACAGGTTAAGGCTGGTAGACAGTACAGGTTAAGGCTGGTAGACAGTACAGGTTAAGGCTGGTAGACAGTACAGGTTAAGGCTGGTAGACAGTACAGGTTAAGGCTGGTAGACAGTACAGGTTAAGGCTGGCAGACAGACAGGCTGGTACAGGCTGGTAGACAGTACAGGTTAAGGCTGGTAGACAGTACAGGTTAAGGCTGGTAGACAGTACAGGTTAAGGCTGGTAGACAGTACAGGTTAAGGCTGGTAGACAGTACAGGTTAAGGCTGGTAGACAGTACAGGTTAAGGCTGGTAGACAGTACAGGTTAAGGCTGGTAGACAGTACAGGTAATACATAACAGAAGGAAAGGTATACCGTTAGTAATAGTAATAATAATGCATCGCTACACATCAACAACTATAGCTACATAAGAACTTCAAGCGCTTATAGCTTAGTTCACACACTCGTCATAAACAATTACATATTAATAGATGCTACATATAATAATAAAAGCGAACTGAGAGAGAGAGTATTAAATGCAGTATAGGTTCACAAAGGGAAGACTATATACGCGAATCAAGTTTGTTTTTTGTGAGTTAGAAGCGACTATGAGCGAAAGTGTCTAAGGGGCGGGGAAAATATATATGTTTGTGGCGTTTACGGGTTTATTAAATGCGTACTTAATACAGTAGAGAGGACCAAAAAAAAAAAGAAAGAGGTTAGTGGTAGATGGTAAAAAATGTATGGAAAAAAATGTTGGGTGATAATGTTCGGGAAGAGTAAAATATCTAGTTAGGAGTACTGTCGGGAAGAGTGAAACACGGAGTACTGTCGGGAGGCGTAAAATACTCAATTAAGAGTCCGTCGGGAAGAGTAAAATATCCAGTTAAGAGTCTATCGGGAAGAGTAAAATATCCAATGAAGAGTACTGTCGGGAGGCGTAAAATACTCAATTAAGAGTCCGTCGGGAAGAGTAAAATATCCAGTTAAGAGTCTATCGGGAAGAGTAAAATATCCAATGAAGAGTACTGTCGGGAAGAGTAAAATATCCAGTTAAGAGTCTATCGGGAAGAGTAAAATATCCAATGAAGAGTACTATCGGGAGGCGTAAAATATTCAATTAAGAGTCCGTCGGGAAGAGTAACATATCCAGTTAAGAGTCTATCGGGAAGAGTTAATTATCCAGATAAGAGTACTGTCGGGAAGAGTTAATTATCCAGATAAGAGTACTGTCGGGAAAGTTAATTTTCCAGTTAAGAGTATTGTCGGGAAGAGTTAATTATCCAGATAAGAGTGCTGTCGGGAAGAGTTAATTATCCAGTTAAGAGTATTGTCGGGATGAGTAAAATATCTAATGAAGAGTACTGTCGGGAGGCGTAAAATACTCAATTAGGAGTCCGTCGGGAAGAGTAAAATATCCAGTTAAGAGTCTATCGGGAAGAGTAAAATATCCAATGAAGAGTACTGTCGGGAAGAGTAAAATATCAAGTTAAGAGTACTGTCGGGAAGAGTCAATTCTCCAGTTATGAGTACTGTCGGGAAGAGTCAATTATTCAGTTAAGAGTACTGTCGGGAAGAGTCAATTATCCAGTTAAGAGTACTGTCGGGAAGAGTCAATTATCCAGTTAAGAGTACTGTCGGGAAGAGTATGTATGATACCTGGTGAAAGACGACGTGAAAACCAAGAGTGATAGAGAGAGATGCAAGTTAGATGATTAATGATACGCTGATGCAAAATAGGAAGCGAGTTGTGTTGAGCGAGTGAATGAGTCAGCCGCTTGTTTTAAGGTAACAACACGGCTTTGGTGAATAACTCCGAGGAAAGGTTATACATATATTAGTGAATGAGTCTAGGAGTGAATGAGTATACCAGGAGAGTTAATTGTGAATGTTGATAAAAGTTAAAAGGGGAAAATAATTAATTGTGAATGTTGATAAAAGTTAATAGGGGAAAAATAGTTAATTGTGAATGGTGATTAAATTAATAGAGGAAAAATAGTTAATTGTGAATGTTGATCAAAGTTAAACGAATAAAATAATTAATAGCGAATGTTAGTAATAATTAATCGAGGAAAACAGTTTATTGTGAATTGAAAGTTAAAAAAAGGTAAATAACTAAATGAAGACATACAAAATTACTAGTGAATGTTAATAAAAGTTAAATGACGAACATAAGAATAAAGATAGAGTGAAATAAAAATTAGTTTGAATGAAGGAGGAAGGGAGGATTCAGATACCGGCGACTGGATGAATGTGTCAGCGAATGGAACGTGTTGGTGATGGGTAATGCTCATGAAGCGTGACACTAGTAAACCAGATTTGAGTCGTTTGTTGTGGTGGAGTGGGGGAAGTACCAGAGAAAGGCGGATGCACCTTTTACAACAATGAGGGGAATAACTGAAAGAAGGACTGAGAGAGAGAGAGAGAGAGAGAGAGAGAGAGTATTGTTTGAAGCGTCACCCAGTTAGTTATATTTCCTACTCTTATAAACTATCAGACATCTTCTCATCACCTAAGTCAAGTTTGTAGATCTTGAAAATACATATTATTGACTTTATTTTTATTTAAGACAGACGATATTTTTTTTTAAATGTACGACCTAGTATTACAAAACCTCTCTTACTTTCGCTTGACTAGTTTCCACACAGTGATATCGATTACATTACGAATTAAGACTCGGCCACTCCCCCTAAATTAATATTCTTGGCCTATATATGAAAATTTTTGAGATATTGAAAGTGTTTTGATTACGATAATTTCTAAGCCTACTCTTTGGTTTGTTTCTTTCGTTCAGATGTAATATTCATGCTTGTAATTATGTTGAGTTTAGCATAAATAAAGGCATTGGCATAAGTAAAGTGGGTAAATAAAGTCGGCAATAAAAATAAGAATGTGTTAAACGCCACAATTTAAACAGATGTTACAATAACGTTATCGTTGAGATTTCTCTTAAATTTTCATAGTTGACGTATGGAGAAGCGCTTAACATCCTAGTCCTTGAAGCGCAGTAATACATATCATCAAACATAAAACGAAAGAGGTGCAAAAACTGCGCATGACGGCTGTATTTACACTTTGAACCAAATCGAAAAGTTGTTTCCATGTCGTAGGTAAATCATCTTACCTCACTTTAATATGTTATTTTCAATGGCCTGTGCAACACAAGTGAAGAGTTAGCATTTCTGTGTCTGTGTACCACTAGTATTGTCAGTGGAAATTTCCTTTGGTTCCCTGACTTCGTAAAGCCTTTATTACAGATAATACATTTATTGAATCGAAAGCCTTATCATAATCGATAATTCTTTAAATATATTGTTTATACATACTCACTGTATCGCTGAATATGTTCTGGGCAATTAGTCACGTAATTTTAAATTGTGTCTTGTTATTTTCTTATCTGAGTGAGGTTTAGTTGTGTCTGAAATTTATTGGTAAGTGTTTCTATACAGATTTTATATGAAACCGGCCGAAGGCTCCTTATGACGTAGTGTAACGCGCCATCTTGCGGATGAAGCCGACAGTGGTGTTTACCAGCACACGGGCCAGCCCGCATTACCGACTGGTCCAGTCTTTGGAAGCTATGCAGACAGTTTGTTCGGAGGGGTAAAGATTAAAAGTTTTTTTTTTTTACGGAATTCATACGCTTGAAAACATATATGTAATGAAGCAACTTCTTTATACAATATCTTGCTACTTA